CTTGAAATGTGATATCCAAATTCAGTAAATACTGTACACAGTATGCTCGAAACGAAAGTATATGATATCTACCAGAATGGATATTCACTTGTAGCATTATAGCAGGCTGTTCTTCTGAAATGCCTTGCTTTGGAATGAATTAAGTCATACTTCTAGAATGAGAGCGCAAGCGCGGCGCATGGGCAATCACATGCGCATTGGTTGTACATGGGTAGGTAAACATACATTCTGGTGGTGTATGTATTGGATCACATATATAAATACTCACAATAACCGCCAGAAGGAGAAATAGTATTGAAAATACCAAATTCTGCTAGATTTCGTATTCAAAACATGTAGACAATTACACTATGTGCAGTGCAAACAGCTACACTATGCAATCGATATCGCTGCTAAAAAGGATCACGTAAATCTACGCAGAGGTTGCAAGAAGCTTAATCAACTGAACTTGGTTATACTACATAGTAGTCTTGCACTCAGCAGCTAATGAACTTCACTCTTCATGCACGACTGCACGTATGCGCGAAGGTTGAACCAGGCGCAAAGTCGCAACCAATGTGTGCTTGTGGTATGTAGGCGTGTGCGTGTACAGTATGCTATCCGACAATAATATACACACCTATGCATACACAATTATATACACACCTATGCGTACTAGGTACGTGTGTTCATAGACAGGTGCGTGTACTGCAACTGCTTTCAATCTCAGGACATCCACACCCCTATTCCATACCGGGCAGATGTATTCCCCCACATAAACGTGTGCACGTGACACAGGCTGTCTACGACATATACCAATATTGTACCTCGTTATTTTTATATTGATCGAAAAACAACTCGATTGAGACGCCTGCATGGTCAGATGTATGAGTGAGCGTTTAGTGCCTTAGAAGAACATGCATACTAGTGTCTCATCGATACGATGAGCTACAGAATAACTGTATACCATTCTCGTAGAGTTGAACGTCGAATAGAATCTGCTGGATCCGTCGCAAATTCCCACACATATCTACAAAGCAACACTCAAGTTCACGCTGTACTATGCTTTAGACTTACCAGCTTTAGACTGTTTGCCCTTCTTGGACATATTCTGCATAGATTGGGACTGAGCGTCCTCGTCCTCTGACTGTGACATATTCACAGCCTTCTTAGAAGTGTGTGACAACAGGGTTGCGTTGGCTGTCCGACAGTGAGATATTAAGCGGCTGCACTCCACTTAAGGTCTTCATTTATAGAGATATTTTTAAGTGGTTAAGCAGCTACTGATTGATTTGATAACATTGCGTTCATGCATGGGCAGTTCACAAACAAGCTCGATCTGTATCCTTGGCACTATCGCTGAACGATTGAAATTGTTTAAGGGTTGAATGGGCTGACCGAACACGTCGTGTTAAACAAGATTATATATCCGTGCGTGACGAAGCGTGCGTATATGTAGCAAACTATGTGTATGTCGCCATTTATTGATATTTGTTAGATGGGATAGGTACGTAGGGTGCTGTGCTTGTGGTGCAATACACGATAGTTGCAGATAGGGTTCTGTGTATATAATGTATTTGATGTATGTATTACCATTGCCACCTTATACATATTATAATGTTTGATTAGAAGGCTACACGGTATTTACAATGATTAAATCCCTGTTAGTAGAACTCTCTACTACTACTCTACTACTAGTAGTAGTAGTGTCATAGCCTCACAGCTTCACAGCGCGCAATAGTTTGTCGATTTGGAATATTAGAAATGGCGGGCTTTTCCGATCCTGCAGAGATTTTGAGCCAATCAAAAACTTAGAATGTAATTCTATTAATAGATGTCTTCTGATTTTGTACACATTTTTATTGGATGAGGACCTTGTCGCGTCATCGGATTTGTTTCTATAAACTTGATAGGGTACAGGTTAAATTAAAATACCTTGGTGAATAGGTATTATTTATATATCTGAATATCGCCTTCACTTGAACCAGCAGTGGAATATAAATATATATTTATATATACCCTGTGGGAGGACTGCGAATCGCTAAGGAACGTCCATAGAGGTGGCAAGCAGTGTAATTTTGGCTTACTGTCGGATGTGTGCTTCTGTTGAAGTGCAGTAGACTATAGGAACGCTCCTAGAAGAATTCATACACACAAACATCTTCTATATCCTTTCTTTTCTGAACAGCATCGCCTATTATTATTATTGCATTGGTGGCTCGTGATACCTCACCTGACACCATCTGACATACCTGTATACCGATCAATACTAAGCCAATAGCAGACATGAGAGGCTACTTCGGTCAGTGAGGTATAAATGACCGCAACTGAAACAGCGGCACTCGAGATGCAAAGTGGATTAGCTCACACATCAGTCAACACGCCCGTGAGCGATGATGATGGGTACAATTCGTTCTCGGACGATGATGAAACGGAAAGTTCGGGACTTCTTCCTGTAGATGGTGAGGGAGAAACTACCGACGGAGATACATATACTCATGCGGACATGCAAAATACAGATATAGATACACAGGATGTACACAGAGATGCATATGATGATGACGACGACGACGTCGAAGAACCTGGGTTCACCGTCAAGAAAGATAACTGGTTCACACGAAAGAGAACAGTGGCGTTGTTGCCATGGTTGCTTTTTGTGATGATGCTCACGTGCCTCTTCCTACTTTTATCAGTGATAGTGGGGTGTTGGTTGGGGGCCATATATGCCAGGCATGCAGCGGCCCAATTCGACACGTTCTCGGCGAGCAATATGCAAGTCACCGGTTTGGGATACCCCGGGGTTCAGGTATGCTGATGAAATCAAGGTGCCGTGCACATGGTAAAGGTTCTGAGTAATTTGATATATGCTAAGTGACTGTTATATGTATCTTCGTAGGCGTATCCGTTTGCATCTTCGTCTACCTACGGCTATATGTAGCAATATTCGGCGGTCTATTTGTATGTATGTTTTATACTGTAAGTAGCCAGTTGCTGCTCTAGAGGTTTGTGCCGAAGTATCTTATGATGACTGTACAGAACGCTATGGGTTTTAGGGTTTATCTGACCCGCAAGTGGGGCGGGCTATTCTCTAGTGGTTTAGCTGAGCTAGGCGATAATAGTGTTGTGGTATAGCTGCTGCCGATTTCAAGTCGTACCGGATTATATACAGTAGGGGTTTGTGATGCAAATTGTGTATTTTAGAGCGCAATATGAAATAGAAGTTCGACTTGTGAATCCATACACACATGTGGTGCTTCGTTTTGAGGGTGTGTACACATGTGTGTGTGTATAAATGTATGTGCGTGTGTGTGGGTGTGTGTGTGTGTGTACATTTGTGTGTGTGTGCAAGTGAACTTCTGTAGGTAGAAAAATCTGATCAATCCTTGATTCTTGTGCAATTCGTAAAACACATACAAATGACCCGTTGCAGATAAATCACTTTGATCGTCTCGTGATATTGGACATACTAGTCCACTTGATAGCAACCAGTAGATAGCATGCTTAGAAAGTTCCACTTTTATGAACGGGCAATAGTTTCAAGATGTTTGGTGCAAGCAGATTAAAGGCGCGCCTCGCTTAAACGATTAACAGTGCCGGTTATGAACAGCAGGTGGTTTGTAGTTCTAGTTTTGCTTCGTACGTGCGTATAGTATTTATGTTCCTATCACACTATAGAGAACATGTGTCGTACCATGTGGTGGTTGATGCGCCTTGTTCGAGTGCGTAATATTCAATATGTTTGAGTGGACTAGTGGGGTTGTGTGATGATTGACCTGTTTTTGCAGTTTCTTAAAACACATGCCAAACCGGAATGACGCCTTATTCGCACTCGCATGCGCATCTCTTATGTGTACCAAATAATCACAGGTGGAAACAGACGTGGCTGTATGGGGTATTCCAAGCTTCGTCAGCCTGGAAATTGAACCGGCGCAAGTGTATCTCTATCTACCCACACCCACGAGCGCACACACCGGTGCTGATGCCGTAGAAGGCGACACCGAGGGTTTGTGCATACAGCCACCCGTGGTAGATGCAGAATCGCAACTAGCGCTTGCACCTTCACCCATATCACCAGATACACGCATAGACACACACGCGCGCGAGACAACAGACACACACACAGTCACAGGCCTTGGTACGGGCGATGATATGGTGTTTGCTTCACTGTATATCCCCCGCATACAAATAAACGGTGGCTCGGGGCGTGTGCATGCGGTTAGTCCGTTGACTTTGCGCAACACCACGCTACTTACACCACAGTTCGCACAGGAGATGGTCGATGGCCAACGCGCCGTGTGCTTTGCTACGCGTGTCAGTGTGGGAGTCAAACTACTCTTTGGAAAGTAAGTTCTTTGTGGGTGTGTATAGACGTGGGCCTTCCTAAACATACATATGGAAAATATAACAGTTTACGTATATGATATACGGCGTCTGCCCCTGACACGTTGCAGACGGGGCGCTGCACGTAGTCGAATGTCAAGTGTATGTCATGATGAGGCTTTGTTAGTATGGCTCTGCATGTGACAATGTGACAGCGTGTGTTATAATCCATGCGTTTTAATTCAGCCATGCATTCATAAGGCTGCAACAACTGTATAGACAATGTGCCTTCCTAAACACACATAGTAAAATATAACAGTTTACGTAAATGATATACGGCGTCTGCCCCTTACACGTTGCAGACGAGGCGCTGGACGTAGTCGAATGTCAAGTGCATGTCTTGGACGAGGTTTTGTTAGTATGGCTCTGCATGTGACAGCGTGTGTTATAATGCGTTGGTATTCATACATGCATTCATAAGGCTGCAAACAACTTGCCTTTTCGTACGAGTTATCGTATGTATATATATCAACAAATCCAACGTCAAGTTTCCTGCTACTTTAACTTTGGTATACATACCGATCGACTCGGTCTGCCGTCAACTACACATATGTTTTGTTCTGCTATTGCAATAATGTATGCTGCACGCATACGCATACGTATATATATGGTATAAGGTATTTGTATCATTTCTACATTGAATGAGACACGAACCATTCACAATTACGTAGCATATGGTCGCTCAGTAATTGTAAATTCACCCAAACTAATTCAAGTGTTCGCCTGCCTCAGATACGCATGTGACTTGAGCACCATTCAAGTACAGCCACTTTTTCGAATACTTTGTTCTTCCTTCACTACTATCACGCCCTCCACTGCCGCTGCAGAGTCAATCTACTGTTCGATGTGGACCTGAACAAGCGAGTGTCTGTCAGGGACAAAACCAGTCCTTTTGCGCACGTGATGCCCTACTCCGTGTATGAAATGTTACCGTGGCTACACGCACCCCTGCATAAACTAGGTTTGGACGCGCCCCTGAAATGGATTTTGGACCCAGAAGTGTCTCATAACAGTTCTGGCGATGTACAATCTGCCCTCTCGCATACGGCACAAACCCATGCCACACATCTCTCTGTCTCGGAACAAACGGTAGTGTCCGGTCAAGACGGCAGAGGGCATGCTACGTACGCGCAAACATACACATCCCCAGGCACACCTACAAAGCTACAAGCCACAGTGCACGAGGGTATGCGCATGTTGTCTCAGTACAACAGCACAGTGCAGCACGGCGTCGAGTGGTGGCACCGCAACGGAGAAGCATCTGCCGAACTCTCCAGAGACGTGCTTAGCGTGCTGCTCAAGAATGAGGGGCGTGCGGAGGATGTGATGCAGTTGGGCTCAGGGGTACTGCTGGCGATGGAGCGAACGGTATGTGCACGTGTGTGGTTGAGCTGTGTGTATTTTTATTTTTGTGTACGACTGTTGCAGGTGGTATGGTGGAGTGAATAGAATAGTCTTGTCGTAGTATATTTCTAATGGTAGGCCTGATTGGCAGAAGGACGGAGCCTGGGGAGTTGCTGGCAAAGGAGCACTCTTACATATATATGGTGCCAAATGGCCGCAATTATCGAGAGCATTCCTTTCGGGGAATCTGTAGAGTGTCGAGTGTATATGTAGTGCACGAGTCTGACTCTTTAATTTCTTATTTTTTCGTGGTGTAGGTAATTGTGCGGAAGTGTGTGCATGTACGTATAGTGTCTCGAGGGCCATTTCGTTCGGTGTCGCTATTTCATCCTGTCTGATACTTGCCGGACGAGCTCTGAACTGTTACTTCTCACGCGACGGCATTCGCTATGAACTGTATATAATCCTGTTGTATATTCACAAGTATACCATGTAGTCGGCTAATTACTTAATACAAGTTCTTCACACCGCCTTGTCCTAAATCCTTGTTTTGCGCACATACAGGTTGGACCGAATACCCCCGACTCGGACTTTAATAAAACCATCATGCAGCCAGCAGAACGAGCGCTCAAGCAGCTGGATTCTGATTGGGCAGAGTTGGTTTTGGCGGCAAACAGCACAATTGAGTGGACTGTCGACAATGCACAGTGGTTGGCGGAGAATGGTACTGCTGTGATTGCGTGGACGTATAAGGAACGAGACTTGACGGGACGGATTGTGAAGGGGCTCGCACTCTGGGCCAAGCTAAATGCTGCGTGGTTGGGAAAGGTGTGTATATATGAAAATGACAGGAAGGTGTGCTATCGATTTTTTTTCCTATACCACATAGTGTAGTTTTAGTATTTGTGCATAGTCGTTTGGAAGTATGAGAGTCGTTGGTGTATTAAAGCTGCACTTTCTATGTTCATAATTGCCACACATGTAGTGTGCCTGTTCATTATGATCCATTCAATGCTTCCTCTGACCTAATTTTATCAACCACATCCTCTCATTAATTATCATGTACATATTAGGAGCTAGGCTGATCATATGTATGTTTGTCTCAACCACCCCACACCACGGCAGCTGCTGTCTACAACCTTCGACCGCATAGTCAAGCCCAATTGGGATCTCCTCGCGCAGAGCATGGTCGTTGTGGGTGATTTTGTGCATGCACAGGCGCCGAGTATGGTATGTCTACCCACGTGGGGTATGCAGATGGTTGCCCTTGTGAAAAACTTTGAAGAGGCGGGGCCTGTGCCTTGGCTGCAGAACGCCATGCAGCAAGTATTGGACGGTGTGCGGAGGGTTACGGCTGATGTCCATGGTGAGTTGTGAATGTATCAATGACTGTGTTGTAGAGCTATCTGCTCAAGCGACTTCTCTCAGCCCACTAGTGGGTATGTATATCAAAGTCTGTCGAACCTCTCTAATGAACGGCGTTGATGTTTATGAGGGGTCTAGATACCACTGATGTTTATGGTCTAATGGATACCACCGATCATTTTGGTGTAATGGATACCACTGATGTTTATGGGGGGGTTATGGGGGTCCGATGTTTATGGGGGATCTATTGGCTGAACGTCGCCATACATTGTGCAGTGGATGGTGTGCGGGAGTCACTACAGTGTACATTCTGAGCTGCGGGTGTATGCAAGCTTTTTGAGATTGCACTCATCGGCAACTACAGTTATTCAAACTCGTAGACTAGTATGTATATCCGAATGTGTAAAGTGCACATATCGAGTGACGCTCGTTGTTTGTTCAGTCACTGAAATAGGCCATGATAGTTATGGATTGATGGTATGCGGGGCGATTCTGTCGGTACTCTCTTAGTAATTTATTCCTGGCTCAATATGGAAGGCTTGATTGACGGCGACTGCGTGCTGTAGATTCCCTCGTGAATAAGATTGGACTATTGTTCCAAGTACAGTTTTTGTATGCTGTGTGTGGTAGAGGGGGTGTGGATGGGAAGAAGCAAATATGTCGTGAAAAGTATGTATAATCATCTATCAAACTGGGTATTGTGTATTGGAAAAGGAAATCATAAGGGAAGAAAGGGTTGTTGTATGTACAAAAGTTCACTGTCTGAGTACATATAAATATATTTTCTTGCAGTTCTATTGAATCTTGTCGATCCTATTGTGGCGGCTGTGTCCATTTTGCTGCACGTTTCCTGTGGCCAGTATTCAACCTTACTGACAGAAACACTGCCTGCGCTGGCAGAACATACAGAGCTCATCGCTTAGTCTATCAGTGTCATCTGTGGTTGTCATTTGGAACATATATGGTAAGGCACGCCACGGTTGTTACACCACATGCCATTGTAGAAAAGTAGTATGATGTACTTCTGTTCCTGACCAGATATATTTTTTAGGCTATGCCTGTTCCGTTGTTTTGTAGCTGTTGATAGCCTCAACACTTGTAACCTCACTGATCTATGTATGTGTTCTCGCCATCCCCAATTAAAAAGGATGTCGGTTCTAGTCAACGAGGCCTCGAATCATTGCAAGCGCACACGAAATGTACAGAAGGCATTTCTTTTCGCAATATTTATGTACAATATATATATATGTATATATATATATATATATATATATGTGTGTGTGTGTGTGTGTGTGTACCTACCTACATGCATTCACGTACTCATGTAACATCCACATATACGAACACGGTATCGCAGGACTGGTGGATGAAAGGGCCCGCTACCTTTTAACGCACGGGTTGACATTGGCTGACTTCCTGTATGGCTCTGCCGGTTCGTTAGCCAATCTTTTGAATACCATTTACGATGTTGGTGACGCCATCCTGCGAGTAAATGTCAAGGAGGTATGTATGCAAAGTGTTTAGTGTATACTTTTAGTTGTAATGTGGAACTCTCGATCAAATGGTACTGTGAGGGATTTGAATGAGATTTTGTATGTATGCTTGTGAAATTAGGGTTGGGCTTTTTCAGGGATGTCATCATACTTGCTAGTTTCTCTTTGCATGTGTTGGAGTATATGTGCATATGTTTTTGTTTATTTTATTGTGTGTGCTCGATTGCTTACGAGCCGGCGTATTCATTTGCAGATGAATGAGAACAAACACTCACAGACTACTATTAAAGGACACAATGTGAATTATTAAATGTGAAGTTTGGATGGCCGTGTTCGCGCTTATATGGCATCTACCCATACTTATCGAGTGTTTTCAGCCGTACAGTATCATATAAGGTTTTCTATACTGCGCGTGTGGCTTCTAAACAGACGGTGTACTGTTTGCAGTTATTTCCCGTGCAATGTATTAAATTCTGATGCACTCTTTTACTCTTCAGTCTAATTCGGGTGGACTTTGGGATGAAGTCTGTGCCATGTGATTGTGTTCGTTCAATGGCGTAGTTTGTCCCTGTCTATCTTCGCTCGAGTTGTAGTACGATCTCAACATGCCGCCGCTATCTTCACCTCTATGTTAACAAGTACATTAGATGATTTCAGTATATGAGCGTCTGCCCGATGCTGTTTTCCCGATGTTGACTCCATATTGTCTAATCGCCCTTCTATCTTGGAGCGTTGGTACCTTGAAGTAGTGTATCGTTTGCAGCCTATCAATAACTCGAAGGCCGTGATTGGTGGCTATGATTATAACAGATATACATTCCACCTTTTATATCAGTGTCCCGTAACTGCATGCGAGACTCCCTAGATGAACATCTACGTATCTTGCCACTCATGCATATCCAAAACTCTCATCGTGACTTTATTATTGCATGGCCTTCGTATATGTGCTCTGTAATTGTATGCCACTTCGTAGGAGTGCGTCAATGCCGAGTTCGAATTTCAGGGCTTTTTCACAGACCCGCAAGAGGTTGTGGGGGGCAAACTGAACCACACGCTAAGTGTTTGGTTGTCGGACCTCATCAATAGGTATGTACGCCGCGAAGCGTTGTCAAGTTGTATGTTTGAAAAGGCGAAGACTGGGTTTCTGGTTTCATTTTTGAAACGCTTGTAATGGAAAGATGCACTTGTTCGCTAGCAAATTCAGATACCTGCCAAGAGGTCTCTACCTTCACTTTCTCCTAACTTGCATCTGCACGTGCCGCACTCCTGTCTGCACGCACGTGGTCGTGTACGAACAAAGAACACGGCTCAAAAACAATCGATTATCCAGCCATTGCATGTGTACTTCATCGCGCCTGTATGCGGAAAGTCTCACTTCTCATGCAAAGCTTATGCGTATAGGTACATACATTATATGCACGCACGCACATATATATATCTGTAAAACTTGTGACGCACGCTCGTGAATTTGATTTACTATCCAAAATCTTGTGGCCGTATTGTAACGCCTCTGGTTCATGTTCTCTGCCCCGCAGATTCTTGACTCTCTGGATGAACTTTCGGAAAGTTGTAAAGACCGAGATCATGAGCTCTGTAGAACTTCGGTATGTTATAGCAGGAAAGATTCGAACTTATGGAGTAAAGCCCATTTCACCTCTCTGGACCCTATGGATACTACCTAGCTCCGAGACAGTTGAAGATTAGCATATCTTAGCATATCTGTGTATGTGCCTTACCTAAGTATATCCTGAACTGCGCGTGTATGTAACTTTCTATTGCCGGATATACTTTTGAGCGTGTACATGCCGTCTCATGCTTATTATTGTTGACTGGCTGATCGGTATTCTACATGTATGAGGCATATGAACAATTTTCTATGTCTGTGCTATGATTTAAGCGCATGTTCTGGCACAACATGTTGTCAATAAATCCTACCTGCTGCGTGCGCTACAGTTGCGCCATTATTTTTGCCGTGGCGACTGTTTACTCGTGGCACAACAAAGGTAATTCAAAACAGGTAGGGACACGCTCACCAGCAGGCTAAGTGTAAAGCAATCGCTCACTTTTGTAAACCCGCGTATATGCCTGCAGTGCCGCAGAGACGGTGATCAGTGGTTGTAAAGCCGCGGGTATCGATCTGGAACAGATTATTAAGGACGAGGTCGGTAGCATTGCGGCCTATATATTCTCCAACCTCTCTCCTCAGAGTCTTATCAAGGTAAGGCGACGGCGTGTCTAATATCTATGCTACTTGATGGAGGTGAATTGACCTACACACGTGTATGAATGCCATGTGAATGTGGCTGCATAACGACCGGATTATGGTTATACACATAGGGACTTTTCTATGTTAAAGTTCTTTTGAATTTGTACATATATATTTATTTGTGCCCAATCATTTTTGGCACATAAGCATTTTCGCCGTTTTTATTTTGTTTGTGCTCATGTGCTTACAACAATGCAATCATCGGTATTTTCATATTCAAGGCAAGAATCACCGGAGTATACGAACAGCACTTTTTGAAGCTATTCTCATCTAGAATGATACTCTTCAGTTTTGCTGAATTGGGACTATAAACTGAAGGATACCGACTTAGTACAAGTCCGCAGCCGCCATCGCTGCTTTTTAATATTGCAGTATTGCACCCACCACATCATTCTCATTGACTCTTTTATTGTCATTGATATCCGCGTATCTCTGTTTGCGAATACTCGGGCTTGCCTGCGCATTCATTTAAACTAACTGAATCCCACGATCCGCTGCATAACTCAGGTTCTTGTTTGGGGAAAGAGCAATAGTATGTTCGAGGGCTACCTAGTGGCCATCATACAGAAGGTGGTGAGCCATTGGGACTTGGGAAGCCTCATGTCTAAGCTGTATCAGTATGCGCGTGTGGTAGTGGCGTACAATAACGCGGTGGTGGGTGCTATCTGGAAGCATATCGATCACCCGGAGATTGCGGCGAATACCTACTTGGCCGATGAGAACTTACGCAACGGATAGCAGAAGACTGAGCAATGGTGCTGATGGTCTCCATCGGTGTAGATTGAAATTTTCTCGTATTTGGACACTTTCGCGCCGCCCCTGGGCAGTCACTACTCATACATTTTAATGGCACCCCTAGAGGCGCTGCAGACTATACCAGTTCAAATACTCGTGTGTGCACACATTGCAAGCATGGCAGCCCCTCTCTATGTCTCTCGTTATCACTCACCCACGTAACTAACGCAAGCGTGGCACAAGTTGTATGTCTAAACCGATGTGTACATGTCCTCTCAGTCATGGATATAGACTATGATGACACTACCAAACACGCTCAGGACATCTGAGGGGTGACTTTCTTCTCGAGCTTGGTCTGTAGTGCTGTCTAGAGCACAGGGATACTTAGGTTATCTTCGTCATATTCGCTACCGACCGGCTCAGGCACATCTGCTAACGGACAATGCTGGTACATCCCTTGGCTCCGTGGCTCGAAGCTCGCAGGTGCAAGCATGCAAATTTATATACACGCTAGTATAGACAGTTTGGAACGGTTTGTCGGCTGTGAAGCATCTTCATACGAGGTCATGTGGTGTGCTCGTCGTACTGGCCCACACACTGGTGAGTGTCATCTGGGTGGTAGCTCTACTCGACATCTAGGTGGTAGTTCTACTCGACAGTATCGTCGCTGTGTAACTGTGACACCGAATGGTATACCCTGTGACTCTCACTTTTGTTTGCAGGCTGCTGTCGTGTGCTGTCTGACGTAGAGTATCTAGGCTCTGGAGCATCTCTCCTCGATACTTAAATCGCACTTGGATGACCAGAGTACCACGTGCCAGTACTTTACATCTGTTTCTGTAATCTCATTCCTAGCATGCGTGAGGTGTGAATGTTTGCTACCATCGACAGTCCTGCTGTCTAATTTGCGCTTTTAAGTTACGTGCGGTTTGAGTTTCGTAGCATACTTCTATATACCGCAGCGTCGCCAGAACTACAATGATCCCCAGGTCCCAAACTCTTTTTTAATAAAGACTCACGCTCCTGCCCACTCACTGGCTGTGTAGAATATGATGCACGCCTCATACTACCGGCGTAAATGAAGGCGGTATGCCCTATTTGATTTCCCAATCGATTGGTACCATTTGTGTGGGGTTTTGCATTCGATTCTCGTTCATTGTCTGATCCTCAGATTTGTGAACCACCGCGTGTTGCTTCAATCCCCCAACGGACTTGCACAATTTCTCGCAATTCTCGAAAGTACATTTCAAAGTCAAAAAGGTTTCGCAATCCGCTTTCCGCAAATGGGCATCTGTCGCCGTCGCATGCATCGCGGCGAGTTGATAAAGATCTCTCTCATGCTTCAATTCCTCAGTACATCTGTTCCGCCGACACATCTGTATGGATAAATAATTTATGTCCATTGGAAATATACGGAGGTGATATTACATGTGTGCCTGACTATCCCCCAATGGAAAGGTAAACTTTTCTATCTGAACGAACGAACTTTCAACAGTAGCATCGGTATCCTGTGCTGATGTGCTTGCTGGGTTTCATACTCACGCCGCAGGGTGTGCAATGATTGTAACCGGATTCGTTTCTAAATACGTAGCACTCGGCAGCCCTATGGACTATAATAGCTTACGCTGGTCATCTTATTTCACAACCATGACTTTTTCGACACTCGCTAGATCTGTTATAGGACAATTCTTATGTTAAAAGTCTGTTACGCGAGTTTGCCTGTGTCGAGCATGTACTGCACCGCTTAGGTCGGGACGGCGCTAGACGGACGAGGCCTCGAGGTGTAGTCTGTCTAATACCCCGAGGCTCGTCCAGTTTTATTGAAAATTGGGTTGTTGTGTTAAAGTTTTGGCTAAGTAAAGAAATTGATGGGTGGGATGATGATGTTTTGAGAATGAATTGAAGCGTAGAATTGCAAATATGAGACCGTGTTTTTCTGTGTACTTCCGGTGAAGTAGTGTGGTGTTTGACATCATGGATTTAAGGAGGTGTCAAGAACCGGGATCAACGAAGTCCATCAAGCGATCCAAATGAGGAGCACGACCAGAAGTCGTGAGTCGCTGCTTGAGAAGGGACTGGAGAGAGTTCTTCTCCGTGTAACTTATAACTTTACGAGCCCAGGATTAAACTCGTAGCCCTTCGTTTGGACGTTAGATCCAAGGGAAGGATGCGTCCTGAGTAGTAGTATTGATATTTTTGTCACGCACCATGGCGGCAATCAATGTGATCTGAACTTCTTGAGTCCCTGCAAGTAGCACAACGACCTTTAGTACAAATGTAAAGGCTTTAAGTAGTGACAAAAGAGTGCACGATAGTCGGAGTCAAAGTTTATTGTACTAAGGTCGGTCGCAGTATTTCACACTGAATTCAACTTTCTAAGTCAGGTTTCAGTAGAGTCGAGAAGAGGGGTTTATGGCTCACACGTAAGTAGTGCGCCAAAACCTGTCGACGGTATATCCTCGGCAAACAAAGGGGTTTACAGTTTACACTGTTGACTCGTTGAGCATTTGACCCAAGGCCGTATGCTGCGCCCTATGGACGGTTATGGGCCTACATATGGCATTATTGTCTGTTGTCTGTTAGTGCTGAGCCTTTGACCTGTGTGAAATTGTGAATGTTATACATACGCACTCTCAGTTTTACAGACTACGACCTACTACAAGGGTTAAGTTCGCTACTAGTTCTAGGTACCGAACTGCCAGGGTTGACCACATGAAGGATACCTGAGAGGCTGTCAAGGTGATTAGTGAGCTGATATGAATGAACTGAAGGAGCTAATATCAGTGATATGACTGGGTGATGGAGCTAGGAGATACTGGTAGGACACTACGCTGCACAAAGGATTGGTGGATCATTAGAGAGGTGGCGAGGACTGTCGAGAAAGAAAGGTGTCGTAAAAAGGTCTTCTATGTAGGATGGTATTGCCGGGGGTTGTGAACATTTCGGAGAATTGTCTAATAAACTAATTCAAACCTACTGTGGTGCGAACTACATACTAGTAGTGTTTAGTAGAGAGTGTGTATAGACTGTATTTACTAGTTAGAAACTAGTATGTAGAAAGAGGCTCAGCGTCCTCGAGTCCTCGAAGGCTCGACCTCCAGTAGTCCAGAGACTCCAGACTCTCTAGACTCGAGACTCCAGTGACCAGTCTCTCTTGCTCAAACTCTCTACTCTACTCTCTCATTCTACTTTCAAAAGTATTTAATGAGTATGACTGAGAGTCTGTCAGTCTGTGAGTCTGAGTCTCTGAGAGAAAGAGAGTCTGAGACAGACTCTCTAGAGTAAACAAAGTATTTACTATTTAGAGTTATAGACTCTAGTGCGTAGTGATAGTCCTAGAATAACACTTATTAGCCAATCAGAGTCAGAGTCTGAACTTTGAGTCTGGACTCTGGACTTTGGCCAAAAATTTAAAACAGTTGTTCACTATTTTTATTAAAAAAAAGGTGTAAACGCTAAATACGACTCAGTGACAGGAATCATGGGGCGCATCATGATTGCATTATGCCATTAATACATGCTGGTTTAATAGTGTGCTTCTCTACGAAAACAGTGAACATGGAGTTTGAAATTTGATATAAATGGTGAAATTCGTGTTCCAAGGTGTGTCATATTTCAATTAAATAACATGCACAGTTAATAAGTATAGCACAGAAAGATTCGATGGATTCAAACGTTAAATCAAAATACTTTCCCAAATTCAAGGAGGGTCTTTTGTACATGTTGAGAGAGTGTTTTAGATCACAGGTGAGTAAATATGCCAGATTTCCCCCCCAAAATTTATATACAAGGACCATATCTGGCACTGGATTTGTCGCTGCTCAGACGGTGCTTGAAAAGGGCGGTGAACTAGTTTGCCTTAATCGAAAGTCTCAGAGAGTGACAGATTCTACTGCCAAACTTCAACAGGCGGTGCCCTCGGGAAAAATTGTAAACATCGAGTGTGACTTGCAGGACTTTGAATCTGTAAAGAGAGCTGCCGAGAGAATCAAATCCAGGTACCAACGAATCTACAGTCTGTGTTGCAATGCGGGAATTTCCCACACAGAAGACAAACCTACTAAAGATGGGTGCTGCTCAAATGCAAACCAACCACTTGTCGCATTTCATTCTCGCGGCAGAACTGTGTCCCCTTATGGAAGCAGAAGCAGCAGTGACGGGAGAAGCTAGATGTGTGTTCATGTCTAGTGGAGCTCGTGCAACATGCGAAAAGAAGTATTTAGAAAAGAGATACTTCGAGAAACATGGGGGTAACTTGGGTGATGAGGGTAAATCTATGCTGTTCGCAACTATTGTTGGCGGAGGGAAAAGCTTCCGGTATTCACAGTCTAAATTGGCCAACAGTGTAATGATGTATGCGATGCATGAAAAATTGCAAGCCAAAGGATCCAAGGTCAAAGTCTTTTGCGCGCACCCGGGCGGTTCCAGGACTACTCTGGGGGACAACATCGAACTTCCCTGGCTCGAATGGATGCTGATGAAATATGTGTTGATGCCTATGTTTCAGTCCGCAGAGGATGGGACCTTGGGTGAGTTAATAGGTATGATGGCCGAAGATGCCCAGTCGGGCGTGTTATATGAGCCTCTTGGCAAGGGAGGTCTTGCGGGACCTGCTGTTCCTAATCCCCCTCAGCCGTAGGAAACCGACCCGAAATCCATGGAAATGCTCTGGAAAACAAGCGAGGAAACAACAAGCTTAAAGTTCGATATTTGATTCATAGGTAATAGTGAAATATGCCGGGTTCACAAAATGATAGAATAAATTAATAAACGTACAACGGCCTTGTCACTTGCCTCTGCACATACAACGGTTTAAATTAATCATACGTAAACGATGAACATTTGACCTACGAATATATACATTTAACATGATTTCGATCGAGATA